GCTCTTCCTGAATTTATTCTTCTAGATTACATTTTTTTTTTCTTACCATTTGCTCCTCTCTTCCTCTTTTCCACATAGCCAAGGTTATCAGTGAATTCTTGAGGCAACTACGACAGTATCTTCAGATGCCTCTACATTTCTTGCTCTCTGAGATACGTTATCATCACAACATCAGAATTTCCTTTTGGAAATCTTTTCTTAACTCTTGGGTATTCCTTCCTGTTAGGGTTTTGATCTAGGTATAATATCGAGCACCATGTCTCTGGCTGATTTAACTGAATCCCCAGTATTTAGTGCACTTCTGGCACATAGTAGGTCCTCAATACATATTTCTTTAATGAATGAATATAATTTCTTAATTTTGTCTTCCTACAGCATAGGGCATATATTTGACTATGTTCTTGTGCACTTCCTTGGTGACTTACAAGATAACTAGACACTCTTATTGTTACCTTTAATTTTTCTTACTAAATAGGTTTTCGTTTTTGCTTTTAAAGTCAAACTTATAGTCAATATAGCAGTATCTGATTCAGATTTTGACATCTACAGAGGTATTGCTCATAACTGACAATAAAGAAAAGCCATGGATATAAATTAGCATCTATATTAAAATATATTGATATGCAACATACATAGATAAATGAGTATTAGAGTTATCAGAATATATAATTTTATAAAAATTCTATGTAYTCAGTCTTCAGGATGTTTTTCTTATTATCAAGATAGTAATTTCATATTATCTTATTATCAAGAATGCATATAGAAGTTCTTCACTATAAAAATAATAAAACAAAGTTTTAGAAGAGTGGGGTGGGGTTAATTAACTTTTCTAATGCTCATCTTTGATCTGATAATAAAGATGCCAAATTACTAAAAGGGAAAATTGGACATGCATGAAAGTATTGTATTCCAAATATTTACCTTTGTAGATATGAGTCATAATTTTTACTTCAATTGTGGGTATCTACAAACATTTTCTAACTTAAAAAAAAATAAATGTAGATCAAGCAACTAACAGAAAATAAAAATGCAGAATCACAGATCTGGAAAGACAATCAGCCAATCTCTCTCTTGAGTTTTAGGGACATATTTTTTTCTTTTTAAATAAGAGACTATGGAACATGCAATGTTAACAATCTTCACTGTCAGGAAACTTGCTAACATTTCATCTAAATGCCTCATGCATCACTGTAGGCTCATTTCCTCTCATTGAACAGAGGCGGGACAGCTGGCCAGCATCTTCCATCTGCACTGCCCTTAGTCTTAACTGTGTCACAGGCGCCCTCTGAAACAGGAGTCTGAGCACAATTGGAAACAGGAAAGAAAACTCTTTTTAAAAAAATCTTATAGGAAATAGTGTTTTAAACCTAACTTTGAATGGAGCTATAGACTAGGTCAACAAAGGGGCCCAAACACTGAAGTGCTGTCCCTTGAATAATTGAGACTAATTCTTAAGGAGTATTATGGGGTCATAAAACACCAAGCCTGGAAATTAAAGATTTTTATGCCTCATCAAAAAGTCTTTGAATGTAACTCCCTGGCATGCTGCCAACAGGGGCAGCTCTTTGGGGGGAAACCCTATGCCAAAGGCCAAAAAGGCAGCTGTGTTATTCAGCTTCTAAGAGCTTCCAACTCAACACCCACACAAGCGCAATTATGAACAAATTAAAGGGATGCAGACAGAACATAGTAATTCTGGTAATTTAAATAAATAGAGGAAAGTCTACAATTAGTAGGAGAGATTGATTTTCTGGTAAACCCAGAAGTATCAACCTAGTCCCTTAAATGACACCCTATCCCCTTTGAATAAGCATAGTTATACCCAATTATTTAAAAATAAATTTCCTTTTACTTATCATTCTAATCACTTCTGATCTGTCTTGCACGTGACCATATACCCACTAGCAGAAATTATGAGGCAAAATCGCCTCTGAAAAAATCTGTAAGGGGTATATAGGAATTGATAACACTGAGAAAAGCTGTTCTGAGAGCACTGAGCCCATGGTGGCCATTTCTAGCAGGGTTGAATACACATATCTGTAGTTAACTGAATGGATACTTCAAGTACAGAGAAAGTTAGATTTATTCAGAAAGAAACAAAGATTAATATCATGGAATCTGTTAGGCAACCTGCTTGTATTTTATTAATGAAAATGAAAATATATTTGATCATGCTATATATTATATCCTTAAAATTACTAAAATTCAATGTCCATCTCTGACTTAAAGCAAAAAAGGGACAGATAAAAAAAAAATGTGGAAGCGAGAAATACAAGGAAGCTTATTTCACTTGATAAAGTGTTTTTTTTTTTTTTAATCAAGATCCAGTAATAAATGTTATAATTAACAGTCACTCTGACAGGCAGGAAGATAGACAGACAGACAGGCAGACACACAGACACATACACTCCCACACAGTAAACACTCCTGAGTAACCTTTAAAATTTCAATAACTGATGCTGATTTTACTTTGGAAAAGAATAGGTTTCTTTTTACAAAGGAAAATCAGAGGAAGATTACCCTATATGTAAATCAAAGTACAAAGTAATAGCATGATACTTTAAACAGAATGATGCCAGCAGATTAATATATAAATAGACAAGCATGTCTATAAGCCCACCCATTTATGTGTATAAGGGAACTTAATATTCAATGAAACGACATTTTACATTAACAGGGAAAGGATGGAAAACTCAATAAATTTATTAATAATTTGTTATACTTTGGAGAAACATTCTCCTACTTCATACAATGTGAATAAAATACAATGTAGATTGCTTAACTTTAAAAAAAGGATCTAGAAGAAAGTAAATGGGACAAACATAAAATCAAAAATCAAAAGAAAAGATGGAAGTATTTGACTCTGAGACTAAAGCTTTTTATGGTAAAGGATATCAAAATCAAGCTAAGAAGACAACAAATTATAATAAATTATTTGCAACACGCATACACTAGTCTAAAAATAAAAGAGAAAAAATAATTAACAAATAGAAACACTGGAAAAAAAGTAAACTGCAAAGTAGGAAATAATATAAATGGACAAAAACACCCACAAACTCAAAATAAAACCTTTAATTAAGTTTAAATTCCATCCGAAGGGAAAAGAAAATCAAATTAAATCAAGGCTCACTCACAACGAAAGAAATCCAACATGGCATGGATAAACATTATATTAGCTCAGGGTGGTATATGGAGAACTAAACTACAACTATATTCTACTTTCCTAATCAAGCAGGAAAGATACTTCCAAATGTGTATCATTGGGGTATCACCTGAGTGTATCCAGTGGAAAGTCAACACATTTATTAAGCTCACTCCTTTGTCTGTTCTAGGGAGTAGGAACCAGAAGGTTCTAGAATGCTTGCCCTCAGTTTTTGAAAAACTATTAGCTTCAAATTGGTACATCTTGGAGAGGGGCTAAACTTGGATGATTACTCTAAAAATGTTTCTATAGCATGTTATTAAATCTTCTGCTGCATGGTACATTTTAGCCAATGCTTTCAGTGTGGTACTTGTGTCCTGAAAAAAATAACCCAGCATCTGTCCAATTTTGTAAATTGAACAAACATTACTATTATTGCTGTCATTTGTGGTACATGTACACGAAAATGCAATGGAAGACTGCTAACTATACATATTTTACAAATGTGATTTCAATTTAAAAGAAAAAATTCTCAAAAATAAAGTTTTCTGTAATAAGAAATAAGAGCAGAAATACTTCATAGGAAACAATTTATGTTGTTTTTTTTTAATTAAATGAAAAAAAGTAACATGCCCCCCCATATCCTGAAATTAAGAGCAGTTTTGTCCATTCATCTTCTTTATAGATAAAATGAGAAGACAGAAGAGGAAATGTTTATCAAGCAATTTATAAAAATACATTTTTAGTAATAACTGATGTCAGTGTCACACATTACTCCTCTGGTTTGTCAGAGATTCATGCTTGAAAAACACCCTTCAGACCAGTGTTCAAGTAGCTCCCTTGTTAAGGTTTTCTGTCTGTCTCTCACTATAGGTGATGAGAGCAAGTGCTTCCCAGTGATTTGGATAATTTATAAAAAAAATAGAATCAATTTCTCATTTCATCAGGATTGAGCCTTTTCCTGAACTCTTGTAAATGAACAGCAGATAAGCACTATTTATTAGATTGTTTGGTAGAGCACTCAGTTTTGATTATTCTATTTTCTTGTGGCTATTAATGAAAAATGTAATATGCCTCAAGAAAAAAACAGTTGCAGAGGTCGGCCTCTGAGTATTCAGGAAGCAAGGGATATTGTGTTAAGACTTTATTTTGTACTAAGAGCCCATGGGAGGGCAGCAGTAGATGTCTGAATGTCTTTCCAGGACCCATGTCCCAGTGCCTGGAGAACACTGTTGACATGGGTCTTTGGTCTGCCCTGAGAGCCGACAGTCATCCAGTAACATCCATGGTGCTCAGAACACTGATGAGGTTGTTCGGGACAGCCCAGGTACCTTGACACTCTCCATCTGGCAAACCCAAGTGACCCTTTTTCCCTCCAGTGTCATAGGGGATGGACACTGGAAGAGAGGGATCTTCTTCATTTTTGCCTTCCCTACCCATCACATAGGCAGAACACAAAAGAAGGATGGAGAGCACCATTTAACCACATCTTCTTCCCAGGCCCTGAAACAGGTAGGTTCATTTGAAATGAAATGCACTGGCAGAAGCCAGAGGGCAAATACAAATGCAGGTAGGTTAAAGATGCTTGTGGCATTCAGAACCTCCAGAAGGAATCATGTTTTTCTGACCTAATAAAGGGAGGACATTTTATGGACCACAAAATAAAAATAAGTCATCACTCTTGCTTTTACAAAGAGGGTAATTAAGTGTGTGAGAACAGATAGGAAGATAGGATGACCAGTCCCATCCTCCAGGCTTCTGCAGACCTTTGAGTTAAAGAAACAAGACCTGGACATTTGGAAAGATAGATGGGCTGAGGCTGGAGAGCTGACCTGGATGTCACCTCCCCCTCACTTACCAAGGTCCATGCTCTTCGAAGCTTTCAGGTTAATTGATTCAGGCTGCCTGGCCGGTGTCACAGATCTGAAGTTGATGTGCTGATCTGGAAAATATACTGTTGAATCTACCCCAGAGCTGTGGAAAGAAGCCATAAGTCATACTTAGGTCTAGAATAAAATCATAAAGAGAGGGCAAAAGAGAGAGAGAGAAGCAGTTCTCATTTGGAACATAGTCCCTATGAGCTTCTTTGCAGCCCATTGGTATATATTTTGAACCAATTCTTACTTTCAGGTTTCTTTCCTGAGATGTAGCAACCCTGTTTTCATATATTTTATCCTCAGTACAATTTAAATAAAGTACAACTGCAGTACAATTTAAATAAAGTATTCTTTAGCTAATATCATGTTTGACTCTTCACTGATTTTTGCTAATTGGGATCCTGCTATACCATATAGGACTTCGAGTGGATAACAGGTGCCTGGGAAGCACTAGCACTTCATAGCTTGTCACCAGATATTAGCAGTGCTCTAAAGTGGACTGAGGTTTCTGCAGGATAAGCATGCCCTTCATTTAAACATAAGTGAAAAGGTTGGCTCCTCAGAGAAAAACCATCTTGCTGAATGACTGATGGCAGATGGAGTTTGAATTTTTACCTTATTTAGGTTCATCTTCCCAAACTAATGTGAATGCTGAGCAGATAGTCCACTCATCAATAATACCAAAAGTCAATCCCAGGAAAAGCATGGTTGACAATTTAGACACAAGAAGCATCAAATGCCCATTACAGGATTCCTGGTACTTTTGTGTCAGTCTCAATGAATTTTCTTTCTGCAGGATATTTTATTTATTTTTCTTGAGAATGAAGGGATTTTATATAAAGAAATTACAGATAATAGCTTATATCTCAATCCAGAAATGCATCATATTTGTATACTTTTCATATATTTAACTCCACTTTCTTGGTAGCTTGTCTGTTTATGAGGTACATACGGTAGCTCATCTCAATATGACTTGTACTCCTAATCTTAGATACAGAAAGAACTCAAATTAAGCATGCTCAGGAAATCTGAAAGTACTGAGGTTGAATTTTTCAAAAAGTTGGAGGTTGATATTTTAAACAACAAAGTAACAAAAATAACTTCTGAATGAGAATTCGTGTACAGAGGAATCTCAAGTTTTAAATGAAATATACCAAAATAAGTTCAATTTTTCTTGAAACTCATCAGTTATGGGCATTTAATATTCCCTGACCGCGCTGTTAAAATTAATATGCAGCTACACTAATATTGATGAATGAGTAAATGAACCTCCATTAATAATACAGTGGGCAGTAGATTAAGAAAGTAGCCCCTGATGGACAGTACAAGATACTCTCAAGAGCCAGGACGTGGAGCAGGTCCTGGACTCAGTTTAATCCCCTTTCTGCTACTTACTAGCTGTGTGACCTGGGTAAGTTGTCATTTCTCTGTTATTCAGTGTCCTCACATGTAAATTTAAATGTTATTATTCACATTGAAAATGAGTATAATTACATTCTCTACTTTAGAGGGTGACCAAAAAGATAGAGTGAGTTAAAGATTTAGAAAGTAAATAGACTCACACAGAGCAAGTGCTATAAAAGTGCTCAGGTAACAAACTGAGCAGATTAATAAATAGATCTGCTTTTGCTTCCTAAATGACTGTGAGTTTCTGAGCTTGTCCAGTTTTTTTTTTTCACAGTTTCCTTGCTATTTCCATATTTGTTAGCCCTTAGAAGGGCTGTGACTAAGTTAGGTTAGGGACTGGAGAGATGTCAGGCTATGTGGCCTCATCTATAAAATAGTTAATAGGATTTACTCTATAAGGCTATTGTAATGACTTCATAAGTGAAGGAATGCTCAATACTGAGAATAGTGCCTAGCATATACAATTGCAGTACAATTTAAATAAAGTATTCTCTAGCTAATATTATGTTCAATCAATGGGAGCTATTATAATGAATGAGAGTTCTTTATTTCTGTAGATTATGGTGGCCTTTGAATGAGGACCTGCAATATTCTTCAATGAAAAGATTGTACCTGTTTTTGTGAACACTTCTCAAGAAGTTTAAATCCACTTATTGGAGTCATGAATTTCAATGGTGCCTGGGTGCATTCTCAACAGACAAAACCATTGATACATTCAGTGTACTAGATGTGGTATTAGTGATAGGAAGACATGCTAATTATATGCAAAAATCCTTGACCCACTTAGTTTTATTGATCTAACAGCAATTCTTTCTCTCTTTCAGCACATTTTAAAGAAGAATATAAGATGCTAGTGTGCACATGAGCTTCCCCAAATCCTTGATATTCTGGAAGCACTTGCCTTTAAATGTGTTATTCGACCTTTATTTGCTCTTAGTTTTTCCATCCTTTGATCTACTGTGATGATGTGGATTTAGTGTCAGAAAGACTCATGGCCACATAGACTCAAGGAATTTAAGAACTGGAAGGGATTAAAGCCTGGGGCATCATTTAGATAAGACTCTGAGGCCAAAGAGGAGGACTTATGTTCTAAGGTCACACAGGTGGCCAAGGCCAAAGCCAGGAGCATACCCATAAGCTTTTTAAAATGGTGGCCATCCTGGGACATAAGTTGTTACAAGCCTAAATTCCCCAAATTTCAAAGCTTTTCCTTAATTTAGTGCTCACAATCTCCTATGCAACTTGCATTTTAGTTTACCTTTTTGTTTAAACAGAGGGGTGCATATCATGAAACTAAAGAAAGCCAGACAATTGATTGAAACAGATGCTATATGTTATAACAAAAGCCTTCAGGGCAGAGGTTTAGAACCAACATGAATATTCCTCTTTAAAACAAAGATCACACTGTATTTGAAGTGCTCAGCTCAAGGTGGACTATGGGGATCTACCCAAGTGAGGAATGTATTGGTTGCCCAAATTCATTCTCAGAGTATCTTCCAAACTGATATATTAAGAATAAGAACTCAAATTCTCCTAGGCTTGTGAGAAATAATGATCTTTATCCAAGAAGGTGGCAATGCCACTTGACACAGTAACATCAAGTTAGGATCTATCCAAATAAAATGAATATATTTCGTTAGAGATATTAGGAAACACTCAAGGGTGGTCAGAGAAATAAAAGCTTCTTTATACATATAAATGGAACAAACATATTATTTATATCAAGTATATATATGTATGTCTGTTATGCCCATTAATTTGATGTATACATTTGTTATCATCATTTTGTGACCACGTATACAACTTGAAAATCTTCAATGGGAGGATCCCCTCTTGCCATAGAGACAAAATGGAAATGCAAAATAAGGTTGATGTCAGATTGGCAGATATTTAAGGAGGGACGTGAGTGTTACATAAGACACTATGGGACCGGAGCCAACGTGAGCATATAGCGCACTGAAATTATGACTGGAGTATTGAATTAGTTAATGTGAAAATATTTTAGACATGTCAGTAAGACTAGTGAAATGGTTTGTAATTTTATGCTACACATCAGAAGTGTTTAGAGTGAGAGGGTGACACGATGATTAACTATAAACTATGACATATTTTAATTTTGAAGGGAGTTAGCGTGTGCTCATGGCTGAGTGGGCTGCACCAGGGGCTGTGGGAAGCTGAAGTTGACAGCAGGCCAAAGACGTGTCCTAGATCGAGGCCGTGCTTTCAGCATGAACAACCGGGAAATCTATCAAATAGAAATGATACTCAATGTCAAATTATGCTGCATAATGAATAAATAAGGGTAGCATGAAACATATGCCAGTGTCCTGAATGTGGTGACAAACCAGGAATGTGAAAGACACACAAGGGCCAGCAATGCATGTTCAAGGAGAACTGTCTAAAATAAAAAGCAGAGGAAGAAGATTTTGAGAAGTATGCCAAAAATTAATATATATATATATATATATATATATATATATATATATATGTATACATACGTATATGTAGATTTCAACATTTGGCTAGTGTGAGAGTAACAGAGGTCATGTGTGCAAAGCAGAGAGAGAAGGAGACAGACAGAGAATGAAAAATATGAACCTGTAGGAAATTATCAAATGTTGTCTAAACTGTTAATAATATTCATAATATTCAATATATTCTGACTGGTGTTGATCTACCTTCAACTCTCCCTGAGATCTATTTCCCTTATATTTTTACTAAGACACATGTATTCTAACCTTTTCTCTAATAATCATTGGCAGAGTAGTAGAAATAAATTCAGGAATGTACTGATTTCATTTGGGTTTAAAGAACAGGCCTTAAGTTTGATCTGATTTGTGTTTCCCTTTCCATGCAAGGGCAGTTTTCCACTGTGAAGTGTGGTTCCATCCCTAAAGCACCGCTTTTCCCTCTTAGAGGGCTTTATAAATTTTTTTTTTTTTTTAATGACAGAATTGCTCAATCCTCCTGGCTCCTTTCCAGTGTATCCTCCATCCCAAGCTTCACACATCCAAACCCTGCTGCTGCTGGTCACCTAGGCAACGCTGTAGCTTGCAGGACTGTGCAGGTCACAGCCTCCCAGGAGGGGGAAGAGTTTCAAGGCTTAAGACTTGTTCCTTCCTCTGCCCTTTTCCCTCCACCGACTCTGCTTCTCCCCTCTTTCAGGTAGTGTTTTTCTCTTGTTAGTCCCAAGAGTACTAGAGATCCTTGTATGTGGCTTCCCCCAACCATTCCATTCTCCACAGTGAAATTGCCCAAGGTCTAACATTGTCATCTGGTGGGTTGGAGCCCTTCAATGCTTCTCCACTGCTCCCTGAAGAAGCAAGGTGCCTTCGGTACATGGTAGACAATACTGGACCTTGATATTTTCCCCCTGGATATCATGCACTACAGCCACACTGAATGCATGATGAGTCCCCTCTCCATCACCTGGTTTTCTAACCTAGGTTGGTCTTCCTGCCACTTCTTGGCATTGTAGGCTCTTTTCCATTTTCTAAGAAATTACTGACACCACTTCTCCTGTGAAAACTCCCTTGATCCTACAGGCAGAGTCAGGTGGCTCATTTCTCTGCACTCCCATGGCATTTTGTATCTAATGCTGAGCAGGCTGCATCCTTAAGTGTCTGTCTTCTTAAGAGGACACTGCATTTCTGGCTGGCAGAGATGCTTTCTGATCCATTCTAGTGCTTTCTAGAGTGTTTGGCTCAAAGCTCCAAAAATACTTCTGAATGGATGTGTGAATGAATGACTTAATGTTCGAATACTGCAGAGCAGGAAAAAAAAAAAGAATGAAGTCTGAGGAAATGATAGAGGAATGTGCTATATGACAGAAAAGGGAAGGGGGAGAAATCTGAAGATCTTGAAGAAGTCATAAAGGTGGTTGCTAACTCCCAATAGATATCTCTGAACTACCCCTCACTTGCAGGTTTCTCACCTGAGCAATCTCCCTGTCCTCCCCAGCACAGGTCCTGAGTACCTCTCACTGCCATGGCCCCAGCAGGGATCCAATGGAGTCTGACATGTAGTGGATATCAGCCCTCCTCTATTTATCTAATCCAGGTTACACACAATGAAATCTTGAGGTTTACCATATCTATTGTCTCTTAAGACTCTACAATAGTTTTTCCTATCTACTGAATGAGGCATGCACACCTCATCCTTGCATCCTGGTCTTTATTGGCTGGTCAATAAGTTGTACATATCAATTTCCTTTCCCAACTCCATGCTATTCCTTCCCTCTCTGAAATTCCCTTCCTTCCCGGGCTTATCTCACACCTCACCTCTAGTTATGAGGAAAGATTCAGCTCAAATAACTTTTACCATCACATTTGGACTGATTCTCCTAACCGGAAGCAGTCCCTCTGCCTCAGACACATGTTAAATTACACCTTCTATCATTTTGTAACTTGTGGTCCACTAGCCTTCTGGCTTCTTGAGGGCAGGGCTTCTGACTCACCTTGTCACCATCCCAGTGGTTTTTGCACATACTGGATATACCGGATTAACAACAAATCTACTTTATTGAAATTATTAGGAAATTATTTAAAAATGGATTCTTTAATGCTACCAACTTGGATTCAGGATTGAGATAGACAGTGGAAATAAAGGGGAAGAAATTAAATATGTCCACATTTTATTCTAAGTAAGCCCTAGTGATACTGATCTAGAATATAACCGTGATTATCAACCTAGTTCATGAAATTGTGTTTGAGTAAGATAACTAATTTCAAAAATAGAAAAATCAGAGAGAGCTAAATATAGGTAAGCCTTCATCTAATAAGAGTTAGATATACTCTTGTGCATCTGTATTTTTAGCAGGTTGTATTAAAAAGCATTGCTACAAGAAAAATGAAGAAATTTCACAGGATTATCATGGGACACAGAATGGAATAAAATACACAGTTTTTAACAGGCATAATAAATACAGAAAATAGCAAAGAGACAATTTAATGATTTTTAAAACTCATCAGAAGAACAAAATTTATGAATTCCACTAGTCAAATAGTATGTATGCTTATAAATCTCCCTCTCTTGTGCTTGTGTGATTCTAAAAAATTATTGATTTTTTTTAGTTTCTATTACAGAATGGATATAATATTGGATACCCTTTTCAATATTTTAGATTATATATGGTATTGCTTTAATTTTTAGATTCCATTAACTTTCTTGGAACATCTATTTTTAAAGTACCTTTAGGGTTTGTGAATTACAAAGAAAAAAAAATCCTGTTTCATTTTCTTCGGTTTTGTTTCATATCTTTCCATACAAATTTTCTTTGGGCATCACTGCTCTTGTTTTCAAACTTGTAAAAGAAAATCCAACCATTTTCTTAAATAGTTTCATCATATTAGATAAATCTTAACACATTCTAGGGAGCAAAATATGAACAATCAATGCTATAAGCTTTGAGAAGCTGTCTCTGGAAAGGAATTATAGATACTATGAGATTTCCATTCTGGAAAGAGATAGAGTAAAAATAAGGAGGCTGAGTTTTCCCAGAAAAACCATAACAGGGGAACATTTATGATATATCATTTTATCGATACCTGTGGCTGTAATCTTCAAGGTCCAATTCCAGACCAGAATGTGGTGGTGGGGAAGGTGGTATTTCACTCTCCGCCCATCCGTCATTGGAAAGCAATAGGTCTATAAACAAGGAACAAATGAAGCTGTAGTAACCCGGAGGCAGAACCATTCAGTGCCTGGTTTTGCTTCAGTCCATCTCGAAGACACGATTTTTACCAACACATAAACCAGCCTTCGACTAAATAAGGCTTCACCCGGAACCAAAGATTGTCAGCAGAGCTCATGCTCCCTGATGGAGGAAATACGCTCCAGCTAAAATGTGAAGCTGGTGACCTGCTGGCAACCCCTGGCATGTCAGCTCCCTGCATCCTTCCCCCACCTGTGGAAGGCTGATACAGACTCATTACCTGTGACTTCTGGAAGATCAACAAAACCATGTCTTTCATGCTTTAATATTTTTGTAAATAAGACTCTGTAAGATTCCTCTGAATTATATACTGATTTAGGCATTTGCTTCAATGGCAAAAATACTTTTAAAAAGCCATTTATATACAGTATATCTACTTATTTAGACACTATAGAGGGGAACTCCCACTCTTTCTTCTTCCATTTCATAACAGAATCACTTGGATTTAGGCCTTAGAAACAAAAGGCCAGGGTCTAAATCTAGGTTTTCCTACTTAACACCAGAGCATATTTTTCTAGGAAATTTGGACTGGAAAAACAACATGTATCCTGAATATTGATATCAAGATCAAGTAAGGTTTGATGAGATCTTACTGTTTATGAGACACTGTACTAAACATTATGTGCATTATTCCATTTAATGCTCAAAATTCATGCTAGAATTTATTAATATTTGTAAAGCATTAGGGAGTATCCTGGTTTATTTTTGAAGCAAGATTGCCATGTTTCCACTCCTGGTTCCTACTGCTGTGCAAAGTTGGAAAACTTACTCTAATTCTCCAAGCCTCAGTTTTTAAATCTATAACATCTTCACTAGAACAGGACACACTGAGTGAGAGGGCAGAGGTACAAGCCCTGACTCATACGTGCACAGTGCTAACTAACTCCGTGCAGAGGGTGATCATGCCCAAAGTAACAAATTCTGTAAATCTAATATAGCAGACATTTGATGAAATATGGACCAAGTTTGTTCCTGATGGATAGAAAAAGAGAAAAATCTCTATCCTTAAGATATCCTCTATCTGCTGCTGCTAGATGCTGCTGGTAACAAAGTCTGGTTTTATTTTGTCCATCTGCCAAGTGTGATGGTACCTACATATTATTCTGATAATTTCTGGAAGGGTGTTCTGAGATGGGATTAACATTTAAAATCAGCAGACTAGGTAAAGTAGACCTCTTTAATGTGGGTGGGCCTTACCCAGAAAGCTGGGGAGGAGGGGAGGGCAAAGTAGAATACAAAGGCTGGCATTCCCTGAGTTAGAGGGAATTCCTCCCACTTGACTGCTTTTGAACCCAAGTATCAGCTTTCTTCTGCCTTTGGACTTGAAGGAAAACAGCAGCTTTTCCTGGATCTCAAGCTGGCTGGCTTTGGATGAGAGCCACATCTTCAGTTTACCAGTCCCCAGTGTTTTGAGTTCAAACTAGAAGCATACTATCAGCTTTCTGGGGTCTCCGGGTTGCTAACCCCTCTGTAGATCTTGGGATTTGTCAGCTTCCCTGACTGTGTGAGCCAATTCCTTTCAAATCTACTTAGATATACACATACACCATGTTGGTTCTTGTTTGTGGCCCTTGTTGTTTGTTTTCAAGAACCCTGATGAATACATTGAGCAAGGATTTGCTCCAGCTCTCCCCAGGCCTTCTGCCTGGTGGAAGCGGTGATGACATATCTTGGGAATGAGGAAGCTGGAGTTCTGATAAGCAGGTGTGATGATGGGTAGAAAAGCACAAGGAGCGAAAGTGGTCAGCACAACCYCCTGCACCTTCACCCACTGGGATCTGGCAATCTGGTGGTAGTGGTATAAGTCCAGTAGCCAGAGACTTGCTAAGAAAAAGAGAGCAGCAGGACTATACTATAAATAGGGACCTGGGGCATATCCTTTCTGCTGGCTTGAATCTTTTTGTCTGCAACCTCTTAGTCCATTGTTCACGCTGGCAGTAAGCTGGTGGTGATCAGTTAACTTGCTTGCTCAAAAAACTTAATTATAGACAGTTGCCTACAAAATAAGTGTCTGTGGCTTTGGCAGACAAATTCGTCTCCTATCACACTTTAGCTATCCAAGACTATGTACCCTGACCACACCCCTGAGCTTGCCTGCTGTAGTGTCTTTGCTCATGTAATTATAAAATGCGTTCTATCTGTCAAATTCTTACCCTTCTCCTAGGGTTCACCTCAAATATCACCTTATCTATAAAACATTCACTGGTCTTAGGATAGGTCATTGACTTTACAAAAGTGGCAGAAAATATTCTCTTCCTGGTTATATAGAAAGATACCATTTCTCCATCCTCTCTCCCCTAGACTAATTCTTGCCAATGGAAGTGAGTTGCTATGGTTAGTATCATTCCCAGCCTCTGAGGTTAAGAGAGGGTGTACCTTCTCTACTCTGCCGCTCCCCGTAACTACCACCCAGGAGCCCAATGAAAAGGTGCAAGAAGCCTACCCAGCCACCAACAGAAAGAGTTTAGGTCCCTTAATCACTGCCAGGAGCACAGCACTAATGAAGCACTCTTCTCCTGCCAAGCCCTACTAGACTGTGCTGTGGCCAAGGAAGGTGCATCAGGGTCTTCTTCTACCCCTTAACATATTGGTTTATCTATTACTTAATATTATACAGAGTAATTCCTGTATAACATTTATTGAATGCTGCCTGTGCCATGAGCCATTTATTGACTTACCAAGCCATCATGTATTCATCTATATTTCTCTTACTAGATTGGAGATAACTTCCTCTTTGTCTTCTCCTTTCTCTTTTCTCTCCCCTTCTGTGCCTCTTCTTCTGTAGCTATTTTAAGTTTTGAAGCATTTTTTTTGTTGTTTGTTTGTCTTATAATCATTAACTTTACTGCATTCATATGACCCATCTGTTTTTTTCTTAAAGTGATAATGGTACAGAGGTAAGTATCTTATTTTTTTATTTAATACTTTTTTAGTTGTAGTTGGACACAATTATTTTATTTATTTATATTATGTGGTGCTGAGGATCTTATATGTTGACTCTATGTCCTTGGTTCAGTTTTAAATAACATATTATGATGCTGTAAAAACATTTTTTTTTCTCTTGATTCAAACATTTTTGGTTAAGCTCTGTGTTAGTATGAAAGTCTGAAATTCTCATATCCTACAAATTTTATAGATATCATTGAGTGTACAAGGTGATTGTTCAGGGTACATTCTTTTTTTTTTTTTTTTTTTTTTAAAGAGAGAGTGAGAGAGGAGAGAGAGAGAGAGAGAATTTTTAATATTTATTTTTTAGTTCTCGGAGGACACAACATCTTTGTTGGTATGTGGTGCTGAGGATCGAACCCGGGCSGCACGCATGCCAGGCRAGCGCGCTACCGCTTGAGCCACATCCCCAGCCCCAGGGTACATTCTTAATGGTAGATATCTCTTTGTGCGTATTTATACATATCTGTGAATGTGGAAAATTTGACTGCTATTCACTACTTCAATAATGGTTAAATGGCTTTTCTTTTAATTACCATCTTTTCTTTGGTTGATTTTGTGGGATCCATCTTGCAAAAGTCARATCAGAAAAGCTAGGTAAAAGAGACTGGGACTTTAGACAAAGGGTCAGCAAAGCTGTGGCCCTGATCTAAAACCATCCTACCATCTGGCTTTGCATGTAAAATTTTATTGAACACAGCCATGCTGATTTGTTTATTTATTGTTTATGACTGCTTTTGTACTCCTATGGCAGAGCCAAAATTTCTAACACAGAGACTGTGGCCCATAAAATCTGAAATATTGCTATCCAGCTCTTTAAAGACAAAGTCTGATGACCCCTGCTTCAGTCTCTTCTTGAGGGCACTACGAGCACTGCATTTATCTTTCCATGCCTGATAGTGTATTCTGCACAGTGGAGGTATCCAATAAACATTAGTCAAATTGGAGAGTATAATCCAATTTCTGACCAGCACTGCAGAGGCAGTGGCTTCCATGGTACGGTGGGGTGGATGCATGCTGTTTCCCAGGAGGCCTCCCATTAAGGAGAATGATGCCATTATGTGTCTCCTTAAAAGACTCCAGGGAATATGGATTTAGTGGGACAGGGCACAGAAACAAAACATCTGATTTGATGTGGGCAGCAAAGGCCTAACTCCGTGGGTGATGCTGATGCTGGGAAGATTGGGGTACTTGAGCTGAAAGTGGAAAGGAAGCAGGAGAAGAGCACAGAGGAGAGATGAGAGGGAAGAAGGAGAGGAGTTAACAACCCAGACAACTGCACTTAGCCTGGTACTTGTCCTAGGGTAAGACCTGCCARTGAGATTCCTCAGAAAACAGAGTTGGCACCTCATTAACTTTCAGATGCTTACTGGGATTTTACAGTCAACCTCTGGGACACAGCACCCATTCTTATTGCCGTCTCGGAGCACCCCTCTTGCTCCATCCCCAGCATTGCTAGCAATTCTCCAACACAAACGTGTGAATTTCTACAAATGTTAGTTCTAAAAATGCCTTTTRTGTGTAACAGCTTGACAGGAATAAAAAATAAAATACTAGAAAACTGTGGGTGGTATGCACTATTATTACAAAAATAGATGGAACACGGAATATCAACTTTGGATTGTTAAATATACAAAGGAAAGGAAAAGGGGAAGAAAAAAAATTTACTGTTTTGGCTGTACCAGTTCCTATCCTCATTAGATATTACACTTTGTCAAGTTAATCTTGTTTTTCTACATGAGGTCCTTAAAAAATAGGTGGCATGTGTCAATACTCGAGATTGATGAGTCTCGGTGGCCTGTTACCACCATCCATGGCCCAGAACTCAGTGACTCCCMGTAGTCCTCAAGCCACGGAATATAAATACAAAGGAAATGTAAAGCACAAAATTGTAAACTAGTATTGTATCACAGATCGACAGAGAATAAGAGCAACTCTTTTTTAAATAATTAAGGTTTAGTGGGCTCACTTCTTGAGAGTGTTAGTTTTTTTTTTTTTAATTTTGTTAATTTGGAAAATCAAGGTGAAGAGGAATCTTGTGGGTTGCTGATCTGCATGGTGTTTTCACAGGTGTAAAAGTTGCTTGGCTGCATCTATGTCTCAGGAAGAAGAGAACAGATAAACTCCCAGTGGTTGTCTGTGGCCACTTATACCTGTAGAATTCTTTGTTCAGTAGACATACAAGGCCTGAACATTTTATGGAAGCTCCAAAGYATTATCACATTTCATTTTAGCACATGCTTTGAGTATTTGAGTATTTTTTATTATTTACATTTTTTTTCCTGGGTGGATCTTTTTTTGTGGGGGAGGGGGCAGATACCTGGAATTGAACTCAGGGGCATTCAACCACTGAGCCACATCCCCAGACCTATTTTGTATTTTATTTAGAAACAGGATTCTCACTGAGCTGCTTAGTGCTTCATTTTTGCTGAGGCTGCCTTTGAACTCACGATCCTTCTGTCTCAGCCTCTGGAGCTGCTGGGATTAAAGATGTACTCTCAGCATTCTAGGTTTATGTTAACATGTTGACTAGTTTCATTGTTTTAGCGATCACTTCTTTTTTCTAAAGATATTACCCAGTTTACTTGAGCCTATCAATGTCCTCTAAAAATGTTTGATATTTTTATCACCTCAGCATTGATATTTTTTAGATACTGAAAATGAACCAAGAAGGAGGTAATATGTCCAATGTTCCTTTGGATATTACTGACGAAATTAGAGACAAAACTCTAAACTCAGTCTCAGGCCCACATGTTGCTTTAGAGTCAAATGCCTATCAAATTTTGTAAAGAGGAGACTTTTTAATACAGATGTCAGTGTTTGCTATCTTAACATGGGTATAGTAAGAAGAAGGCTGTTCTAGACTAGAAAACTTGCTGTTCTTCCTGACTCTGTTACTACTGGGACTAAAGGTGTCAGAAGGAGATCTTGCTATTTATTATGGAGAAGACTTTTAATTTATTTAAGGTGAAAGACATATGGAGTACTTTTTTTTTTTTCCTGGATAAAAAGTCAACTTCTATTGGACATTCTTAGTTTCAGATGTCAGGATTTTACTCATTTTGTGGGACCACTGAAAGTCAAGGGCATGAAAGGAAGTCATAGAGACAAGAATTGAATCYAGCTCTGCCTGTATCAAGTATGCAGTTTTGGGTAAATTGTTTACTCTCCCTGACATTCTATTTCTTCATCTGTAAAATGAGGATAATAATATTAACCACTTTGAGTGTGCATGTAAATTGCTTAACACAGTATCTAACAGACAGTAAACACTTAATAAATGGCAACAGCTGTTGCTGCTACTCTCACTAAAAATGGGGGAATGTTTAAAAAAAAACAGCATCCCATTTGGATGAAACAATTTAATTCTAGAACAACCTCAGATTTATTCTGTTCTGATGGAGCTGCATAGTTAAATTTTTGTAACACCTTAAATATCCAAAATATAGGGGATTGATTATGTAGTATACCGTGCCTTCACTCAATAAAATAATATGCCACTAACTGAAWGTGAAGCTGTAGAAGAATATTCAGTGACATAGTAAGATGCTCATAATGTGCTATAAATTAAAAACTAATTTCTTAAACATCACCTATGGTATATTTCCTTTTAATTTCATTTTATGTACACATATTTGCATGAAGAAAGACTTGAAAATACACATAAAAATGTTATTGATTAAGATCTGCGATAGAAAGAAGTATGAGTGATATTAAATTTTCTTTTTATTGCTTTTCTCTAAATTTTCTACAATGAATATGTATTGCTTTTGCAATATAAAGAATGAAAGTTATTAAGGAAAAGAGATWTGGGGAGATAAAACAATTTTCTTGGTGACCCGAAGTATAATTTTTGAAAGCCGAGGAAGAAAACTTAGGGTTTTTTTTTTTTTTTTTTAAACATCTGGTGCTCTACTAGAAATGTGATCTGTACCAGATAATGAGAGAAAGTGTAGCAAGACAATACCAAGAACATTCCAACTGCCATGTTAGGAACTCAGATTGTGCTATTTAACTACTTGCACAGCTTAGAAGTGAGCATAAATCTGTGAGCCACATTATGACCATTTCATGGTTTAATGTAAGTCCACACATTTTTAAAGTTACAATGATAACATCCCAGATCAAAAGATCTTAAAAAAAAAAAATAACAGTTTGCCTTCAGTTTGCCATTTTGATTCTCTAGTCATGGTTTGTTTTATATATAACCCTCCATGTTTGGGGCAGCAAGCAAAAAAACTGTCACTTAAACTGGCGGCCTTGCCAGGAATCTGATTCACAAGTTCTGAGTCAGCATTCCCACCCATCTCAGCACTCTGAGTAAGGAAGTCTGCTCTTAGTCTAATTAACTCCTGGCTGCCCCCCCCCCCCCGCCTGCTTTTTTTTTTTTTTTTTTTAACATAAAGGTACTGTTTTCTCACTTCATTCACAGGGGATGAAAATGGATAGAATCTTACCTTTCTGTTTATCTTGTNCTAGTCATGGTTTGTTTTATATATAACCCTCCATGTTTGGGGCAGCAAGCAAAAAAACTGTCACTTAAACTGGCGGCCTTGCCAGGAATCTGATTGTATTTTTCTGTTTCATTATTCCCAACCATCTCAGCACACTGTGTAATGATGTACGCTCTTAGTCTAAATAAATCCTGGCTGCCCCCCCCCCCCCCCTTGCCTTTTTTTTTTTTTTTTTTAACATAAAGGTACTGTTTTCTCACTTCATTCACAGGGGATGAAAATGGATAGAATCTTACCTTTCTGTTTATCTTGTGGACTGTAAGTGCCAAACTGATGCAATATACTATCATTTCGCCTGGAGGTGCTTAGAGTGTTTTGACAGTTCTCAAAGCATGGCTTGGAAAATGCCCCACACTCTGCAGGCTCCTAAGGGATAAAAATTAAAATTCCATTTTCTTTTTTAATGTTCCAACTTGGTCAACTTTAGTAGAGCAAAAGAATGATCAAGTCTTTCAAGAGTCTCTACTATATAAGTCTTTGACAGTAGAAACTCAAAAAGGCCCTGTGGGTATAAGAATTTTTTTGAATATGAAATTAAAAATACTGACAATGTGGTGTTAAGGATTAGGAATCCTGATAGCCAACACAAAAGAGGATTAACTTTATTATTCTTTTCCCCACTTACAACTGGCTTCTTTCAAATTTTCTTCCATCTGGGAGTACAGCTTGTGGCAGTGTCAACACAAGTACACAGTTCATGCCAAGGGTGTTTCTCTGCCAACCAGCTGGTTCCTCTCTCCCCCTCCCTCTCTGCCACTACCCAGTCTCTCTTTCTCCCCAGTTGAGTGCATATGCTCCAGGACAAGTCGAACCAAAGCAGGTTGTGTCCCCCAGATACTAGGTCTTTGGCCAGGAGCTGAAACAAACCGTAGTGACAATGCCAGAGACTGCTTTTCCTAAGAGCTTTTCCTCCCTCCACCCGCATATCTCCCCTTCCTATTTAGATTCTGACAGTCTGTAAGCAAATTCACAGTTTTCTCAAAACTTCAGTATCCAGAATAACACCCCCCAAACCATCTTGCACAGGAGCTGAAGAAGTAATAGGAGGCAGGTGATTACAGAGAACTCCAGCTGATTTTTTTTTTTTTTTTTTTTTTTGAAGAGGACCGAGGCATAGAGAACTGGGTCTTGCTCTTGCTCATCTTATTTTTCTCCCTAACAGATTTCAAGGAAGAAAATAATTTGGAAGTCATTTCATAGCTGTTCCCTTGACCATTTGTGAGATGAACATGCCACAAAACAGAGTCCCAATCTGATCCCCAGAGCTCTTTCCATCTGGGAAAGCATTTGGYGGAAACAATGCGTTTGATTTCTATTTTTCCTCTTTAGTTACAAAAATTCAGTGTCTAAACAAAATATTTAAAGCCTTCAATTTATGCATTGTTAATAATTAAAATTTTTCTGTTGCTAAAGGTCCTTTAGCTTTTTAACACTTCTCCCACACCCAACATGTCACCCTTTGCCTCTGTACTGCTAGTCAAACCAAGCCAGGTACAGGAGGCAAGCCACTCCTGAAAACAGGACAGGAAGGAATGGTGCAACTTGCCTAGCACAGCCTTGTGTTTTTATTTAACAATAACAACATGGGAGAAAAAAAAATTTCTGCTTTCCCAGCTCTTTGATAAATGACACAATCGATATCCCAACAACTGATCAGTAACCAGTCTAATTAAAGTATTCAGCCTGTAAAATAGAGCTGTCGTGGAGCCCTCCATTAGTGTCCCAGCCAATAAAACACATAATGGATTTTTAAACATATTCGGCTTCTACCAAGATGAGCTGGCAGCAGGGAGGAAAATGTTTTGGGGAAAGAGAAAAACAAAACCAGGTCATAACCCATTTTTTAATACCAARTCTCTAGGCTCAAATAGAATTACCATTGAACCTGAAGCTCATCCTTTGAAAAACATGTTTCTATTTAAAATGATTTTGATTCAATCAAGGGCTCATTATATATTCTTCACTAGGTTCTCATCAAAACTGTTTACATATCTTATACAACTAGGTAAGGTGGGAACTGCTCCCTACCACAACAACAACTTTATATTTTGACTTTTCTTAAGTAGCTTCTTCAATTTTTTAAATATCAATATAATGTTCAAGCAATCATTTGGCATTCTTGCCAAATCTGCCTAATTGCTCTGCCTGATTGTCTGAGCTGTGATGAGACCTTTTTAGGTTATAGATGCTTTTTTATTGTAGCGGAGGGCAACTGCTGTTGCACAGGAGAATACACCACAAACACAAGTGCACAACATATGCTTTGACACAGTAACACATAGATTTGGGAGATCAAATAGCTGCAATTTTTTTTTCAAATTTAATAATGATAAGCTGTACATTAGGCTTCTGTCTTTATAAGAAATAATACTCTTTAATCTTCATGGGTACCATAGAGAGTCTCAAAAGCTGAGAGTCAAGTGCCTGCTCATTCCCCATGGAAAGCATGTAAATATTAGGAAAAGAAAATGGATCTTGTTTAAATGTCCTCATAAAAATTGCTTTTTGCCCCAGTTCTTATTCCCGATCGATTCCCTGGTGAACGATATTAGCAAGACACTTCTGAGGATGGGCAATGAACTGAAAGTTAATACTTGCTTCTGATGGAATAATGTCAATTTCCACTGCAGACTGTGGAAATTAAGATGAAAATACCTGCTGTAAAAGGGGAATGCAAATAGTAAAGAATCCCAACTCCATGAGCCAAAATGTATGACACCTAGGCTGTAGCATTCACATATATTTTAAAAAGAGACATGAAATTAGGAAAGAGGAGATGTRGGGGCCTGGCTAAGTCTTTTAAGGTCACATTCTTTTCTTTTTTAGCTTTTGCTGTCTGCATGAGCATAATACTTTTGGGCTACATCTTACAGACTTTTCTGTTAGTGAGGTTTCTATTAAAATAAATCCTTAGGGAGTGCTAATATGCAGATACACAGAAGGGATGACTTAGGCCCCCCTAAGCCATCCTTCACACCTGTCTCCAACAAATGGGTTCCATGGAATCATAGGGCTCTAGAGGAAGAACCCAGTGAAACCAGATGGAGCCACTTCTCTCATGGTAGGAAACAGTACATAAGGACCTTCTAACTGTGTACATTAAGTAAAGCCCATTAAATATTCATGGAAGACTCTGTCACTTAAGCAGACGCAAATGTGGAAAATGAGCTCCTTCATTATATATAGTCTCCAGTAATTGGCCAATTTACATTTATTTAACATCTACAAGGTTATATACAGAAGCATGTAAAAGGTACAATTACTCCTTTCCAATAGCTGATAATGTAACAAAAGAAGATATACTTTATAATTTTACTACTCAAGGCCTACTTTCTCAGATGAAGAAGATCTCAGTTGCAATTTTTTTTTATTCGTTCAACAATATTTATTATGTATCTATTATGCACTGGGAAATGAAGATCCATTAATGGATAAAACAGATAACAATATCTGTCATCTACAAACACTGAGCACTTAAGTATAAATGTATCTAGTCACAGAACCAGGAAAGGCAAACCCAGGATTTTAACCCCCAAATGCTAAACTTTATAGCGCAAGCTTTGAACTTTCAGGAGCCCCATCGTCATCTACTAGTTTACTTTGACAGTCCTGTTCATTTTTTAAATTTTAAGTGAAATTTATTATTAAGACTAGCGTTTTATGTTGGTGCTCTTAATAGTATTCTATATGACTTTGCATTTAATTGTATTACATAAACATATTCTGGTCTTTGAGAATATCCTGATAAGATTATCTAGGATATGCTGATTTTTAACATCTACTACTATTAATTTTTTMCTAAAATAATTATTAGGAACATTTAATAATTATTCTTCTATGTAAGAGAAGATAATGTCTTAGGAATTTTTTAATTTATATATGACAGTGGAATGCATTACAATTCTAGGAATATTTTATCCTTACATTTATTTGCTAGTGAAATATTTCTGATACTTAAAAAATTCACAAAGAAATCATTATTAAAAAAATCTCAGAAATAAGCCTTCAATCTTTTTTTTTTTTAAACAACTTGAAGTAAGCAGCTTGCTTAAAAGATCAAATTTTAAATTAGTAAGTCTGATTATCTATATGTAGTTTATGGGGGAGACTATAGAAAACCAATTGTATTATAATGATCTTCCCTTAAAACATTGTACAAGTCTGATCAGGAAGGGATAGATATTGCTAGCATATCCACCAAAAAAGTATATAAAAATAAGTCTGTAACTCTAGTAATTTCTAAATGAAAAAAAAAACTAAAAAAGATGGACCTGTTATAGTTGATAAAGAACTTACTTTATATGCACCTTTTTATACCTTATACTTAAAACATACAGGCACCTGTTCCCCACATTGGAGCCCTTTTAGGGTATATTTTCCCAGGCAATGTCACCATGAGTCCAGCTACCACACTGTTAATGGAAATTTGCATATTCTGGTAGCCATTAGGCAATTTACAAGGAAAATCAAGATTTGCATCACCTCCATTGGTCTCTCTGGCCTCCTAAGAATCACCAACTGGATCATCCCTCGTATGTTTCCCTCCATGGACATGGATCGTCTAAGTGTTTCCATAGCTTCATGGTTGGACTTTCCCAGAAGAGACTCCCCATTGACTGCAATCAGTTGGTCATTCATGCGTAGGCGACCATCCTAACACAGAGGAAAGAAAAATGGCATATAACAGAGAAAAGTTTGGTGATGACATGTCGCTGATTTGGGAGAAAGGTTTAAGTACATAAACGAGGGAGGTGGGAATTCCAGCTATTAGGAATAATTTATTTTCCATGGTAGAAAAATGTTCTGGAGCTTATCAGACAGTTATAAACACTAACAATAATGAATTGTGTGAAAGAATTTTTTAGAAACCTCAGAGGCTTGAGCTGCAATATTTAGACCTTAATATAATGCCTCTTACCTAAGTCTTTGGCAAGCATACTAATCCAGCCTGAGTCTGCCATTGGCTCTGGCAGGGACAATGTTGCTGACTCAAGAGAAGGGGGTTTAGAGACAAACAGAAGTAGTCATATCCCTTGAAACCAGGGTTTACATTCCAGGCAGGGTGAGCCATCATGCTTAAATGCTGCATTTTTTAAAGTAGTGGCATGTCTCCCTGATATCACTGCTACCTCTATTGAATAGTATTAAAAAAAAAAAAAACCTTCATGTAATTTTTTCTAACACAAGAACAAAGTTGCTTGTCTGCTAATCTGAACAAGAACACTATGGTATGCAGTGTGAARGCCCAAGGCCCAAGTTCATATTTTCTAGCAAAAAGAGTTTGACAAAAGAAATCATCAAGCATTCTCCAGGGACACCGTCTGAAGAGCACCTTTAGCTAGCATCTCCTGGAAGGAACATATCTTACCAAAGGCACAAAGAACCTCGGCCTGTGGACAGGTAGCCTAAACTCTGGGCTCTATCACTTTAAGGCCCTAATCATCTTCARTCAAATGCCTCTCATGAGCAGAAGTATATAGTAGTGGCTAAAAAACTGCTTTGCCTAGAAGACAACTCATGGGACATGTGTATTTCCCTGCCTGGCAGCCTGGGAKAAAAGATGCTTACATGTCAAAATTCAGATAGAGACATGCCATATACCTATTTTGTTCTCAGGCAGAAAGTTCTTTCATGAAGTACAGATAGAATTAGGCAATTATCATGCAGTTGCTACTAATAATATGACAGGAATCATAGTTCCACAATTTACCTTTTTTGAGAACTTTTTCATAAACTCTCTCTTGTGATTTTCAGAGTCGAAGAAGATAATTCATGTTTTTATAATTATTTTACAGAAGCAGAAAAGCAGTGTAACTTGCCCCAGATCACAAAAGCAAGGCACACAAAACTGACCAATTTTAGGTTCCAAAAACTTTGGTACTGTAGTCTTTCTGTTGTAGCTCCCTGTTACTTTCTCTAGGCTATAGTTTTGCAATAGTAGACTAGGAAAAAGAAAACTTTTTTTTTTTTTTTTTTGGTGGTGAAAAGTATCTGGGATCCATGCTCAAATTAGCAAAATGAAATGCAAAGAAAAAAACTTCCCTGAGAAATGAGAAAAACAGACATTACCATGAATAATAGAAACAAACCATATAGCCTTGGGAGAGAAATCCTGTGGGCAGGTTGATCAACTTGGACCAAAGCAGTAGCAGATGGCCAGAGGGAGTTGCTCTGCTGACAGCAGAGAAGAAAGAGACAGAGGGTGAGAACTGTTGTTCCAGAAAACTAAAGTCCCTGCAGAGAATCACTGCAMATGCCACCTGCTAGATGGGGCACTGGCCATGCAAAGTTATGGGGACCACCTACAAGAGTCCACACCCACCAAAGGGATCAACAGAGAAGGGTGTAAAATCAGATATGCAAGCTGTTGAAGTGGACTGCCTCAACAGAGCTTAATGTCCTCCCTCCCTTCCTCCCTCCCTCTTGTTTTCCCACTTCACTTGACCTTTACCCTCATTTGGAGCAAGTCTGGAAATGAGATTTACAGGAAAAGCTAAACAAGAAAGAAATCTCTTTTCTGTTATCCGATTTTGAGCGAGTCACTCAAAGAATAAGATTTGCTCCATGAAATGGGGCAAAACCAAAGCATCCTTAATAGCTTAGTCTGGTAAAGTGGAGGCACAGCTAAAGAATTTATTCTATTCATCCTAGGATGGAAGGAGGACTACAGGRCTAAAGCTGGTCACTACAAATCTTGTAGGGTGGCTGGAAATTGATGTGTGGATTTTAAAGAGGAGAGGAAGCAGAAGAATTGGATCAAGATCCTAGTGCTGTGAACAGGAAATGAGAATCTAGCGCTGAGCTTTATGGAGGTGTGGTCTTGACAGAACACCTCAAGAGCCTTGATAAGAAGAAGAAAGATGAGGATTAAAAGGGATGGAGGGAACGAAATCTGAACCAGAACCCACCTGGCAATTTCTCTCTGAAGTACGAGTCAAGGTCAGAGTGAAGAAACAGACTAGAGATGTGAAAATAGTTTTTGTAAAATCTCTTATCAGTTATTAAGTGAACTGATTATTTTTAAACACATTCTAAGTCTTAAGCATGCAAAACTATATTCAAGTAAGATGTATGTACCATAACCAAACCCCAAACAGAAAGACAGGTCAGTTCACCCCAGGGAAGCTGGATTTTTTTTTTTTTTAAGACATTCACATTCATCACAAGTATCACTCGAGAGTTGTGGGCATGATAAAAATCTACACTCTCTCATTCCCAGTCTTGACTGTCCTGTTGCTATTGGTGTATGCTTTTTCTTTATAAGATAAATGCTGGGTAATTTCATTAGTGGGGACGCCAGGAAGCTGTCTTAACATTTAGTATAGAATCACAGAGTTTAGTACTGGAAAGGTCCTTGGGGGTCATCTCATCATACCTCTTATGTTTACAGATGAATAATACAATGGCCAGAGAGAATGAGAAGCCATTTATCTAACACTTCTTAAGAGAAGCCACCACCATATACATTAGGACTTATTCAGCTAGTTGAGATTTAAAGTTGGAATGGAAGAGTTCAAGTCCTGAACTCTACAGTGTTCTCCATTCCCTAAACCAGTGTCTTCTACACAGATGACAATGACTAGTCACCAAAGGGGTGATACTTCAAGAAGAAGACTTTCAAAAGCAGCAAAGACAATTCTCTATTCATGTCTCCTGGAAGAGACACACACAGAGATGTGGATACAGGAAACAGTGCAGGGGATGGCAGGCAAGGAAGCAAGCTGGAGGAGGGGACATAGCTGTCTACTTACTAAGCTGTACATGACACATGCATACTACATCTAAAGTGAAGCTGATGCAATGAGTAACTCGCTACTCAGACTCATCAAATATACCTAAAAATTGCATGTCTTTTTTATTTAAAATAATTTTGACCAAGAAAGTTAGCCTTTTATGTATTTTTCTATTAATATTATGTTCAAGAAAATACTTAGAAATGAGAATATAAACTCTCAACTGACTTCATATAAATGAATTCAACTATACAAGGATGCTACTTAGTAGTTCTAGGATAGTTATTGCATTGCAATCTGGGYCATGCTTGAATATGTTAAAGGGGAAAAAAATCTCTTTCCCACCTTAGGCTAAGTCCTCAGTCGTGCTCCCCACCTTTGGCACACTTTATAACTAACTCTCTCCATCCTCCTGAAATAAGTAAAGGAAATTCTCAAAGAGAACAAAAAATGTTAAAGAGAGAAAGGAGAAGAAAGCAAAAGTCACTTAAGCAAGATAATCCAGGGAAAATAAAAACTGATATGAGGTTTAGGTCTTCTTCATGTACTGAGATAGCATCAAATCCCATCATCAGCCATAACTGGATATATCACAGGAAGAAGCAGCAAGCCTTTGAAGACCAGAAGCTTGAGTACCACATCTCCTTTGTGTTGAACACCTGATATAGGTCAGTCCTTGTGCAAATATTTTGCATGTTTTGCCCACTCACTTCTTCCAATGATCATGTGATATAAATAGTGCTCTCCATTATTTAAGAGATATAAAGACATAGGCTCAGATAAATTATGTGATTTATAAAAGGGTCCTGGCATGGCTGGCTCTCTTCGTCTGTAAAGTTAAGGGCATGACACCAGCAAACAGAGATGGTTTTAGCTCTTCTTTTTCTATTCAAAAAAAAAAAATAAATGTTGGCAAGGATGTGGAAAAAAGGATATACTCATATTGCTGATGGGACTGCAAATTGGTGCAACCAATGGAGAGAAGTATGGAGATTCGTTGATAAAACTGGAATAACCATTTGACTTAGTTGTCCCACTCCTCTGAATATAGGCAAAGGATTTAAAATCAGTATACTACAGTGACACAGCCACATCAATGTTTATAGCAGCTCAATTCACAACAGCTAAGCAATGGGGCCAACCCAGGTACCTTTCAATAGATGAATGGATAAAGAAAATGTGGATATATACACAATAGAGTATTACTCTGTCATAAAGAAGAATGACTTTATGACATTTGTTAAGTAAATGGATGGATCTGGGGACTATCATGCTGAGTACAATAAAACAATCCCAAATAATCAAAGGTTGAATGTTTTCTCTGATATGTGGAAGCTAACCCCCATGGGGGGAGGGTGGAGAATAGAAGTTCAGCTGAGTAGACAAAGGGGAATGCAGGGAAGGGAGACGGATAGGAAAAGGAAAGACCGTGGAATGAATCTGACCTAATTTTCCTATGTACATGTATGAATATATCACAGTAAATCTCACCATCATGTACATCCACAAGAAATGAATTTTTAAAAAATCTATGAGTAAATGGCAGAAGGATCAGTAGGGGAAAAGCAGCAGGAGGTAGGAGAGGGAAGGGGAAGGTGAGGTCCTGGGGACTGAATTATAACAAGACGTATTCCGTGCTTTTATAATTATGTCAGAATGGATTCTACTGTCACGTGTAACTGAAAAGAACCAAAGGGGGGAAAAAGAAGAAGTGATAACACAAGTCATATTTTTGGCAGTGTCAGGTCTAAATGCAGAACACAAATTATATGTCTTGTGACCAGAGCACATTTCTTTATACCAAGTGATCTAAAATAAAACTGTTTTAACCTCCCCCCCCGATAAAAATTTTAAAAAATAATCAAGTTAAGCATGTATCTATTATGTTACATAGTAATTATGCTAAACACTTTAGATGCA